AAATTGAAAAATGTTAAAAATCAAATTAAAGCTTATTTTATGTACTATAAAATGAAAAAAAAAATTTGTCCGGACGACCTATCTTGTATGCGCAAATAGCTACCGTATTCAAAAATATGCTATTTTTCTATTAAAATTCTAGGTTTTGTATTTTATTTTAAAATATCTTATTAGGAGAATATATTGACTTTCATAAATATTATATAATTTAATTGACATAGAATAAAGTTCATAAGACATAAGAAATAAAACTTATTAAATTTTTTTTACTTATTTAAAGTCGAAAAAGTAATTTTTAAATTTGAGTTAGCTTAAATAGCCAATTTTTTCACTTCACGAAAGCTACGAACAGTTGCCGAGTCGGTAACACTTGTGTTTTACATGCCTAGGATACGAGGTTCAAATCCATCTGTGACCAATAAATTTTTGCATTTTTTTTGAGCTAGAATAAAATTTTCAAATCATTTGATATTTATCTCATTTAGATTCAATAACTTCAATAAATATAAGGGATCCTATCACTATAGTCTCCCTTCGTGAGAAGAAATTTCTTATTCATGTTAATATTATTTTACTAAGTGGTTCTTTTTGTGGCTACGATTTATTTTGTCAACCCTCACTAGACCTACTTTTTTGAACGATACGTCAAATGATTACAATTCGTATTTAGTTTAAGTTATTACTCTAAAAAATCGAAAAAATATTCCTTATTCAAATAAAAAGTAGCTTAACCAGCTTTTTCCGTACAAATCATTAATTTTTAATATTCTTAAAGTATTTATTGTTGAATTAGATTTGATATGATAAAAGTAAACAACTACAAAAGTAAATAATTTTACTTTGTAATTTATTCATTTTTTAACTCTATTTGTGTGTGCTACTATCAGTCTATAATATTCCAAATTTCTTTGTAATATTTTACTATATAAATCATAAATTTAAATAAAAAATGATTTTTAGTTTCACCTGAATTTAACGATGTATTTTTACAATTATAACCAATTTTAATAATACGCTCACAATTGAGTAAATCTTTTTAACTATTTTTTTTTATTGGTTTTAGCTTCGATGCGAAGCTAAGAAGGTATTAATTTTACTATGATGTGTTTTTTTTTATTTTTAATTATTTTTTTTTTTTGTGTCTTAATTTATAGTCATCATTTTTAGCCCTTTTCATGCCATTACTTTCATATTCATCATATTGGTTTCTTATATTTTGAAGGACAATTTTAAGACTTTCAATTAAATTAATTGCAGTGTACAATTGATTTGTAAATCAATTACACCACTTTGAATACTTTTACTATACTTATTAAATAGTTCGAGAATATTATGTCATAATTCACACATAATGGCAGTTTCTAAATAACCGAATACTGAGCTTAAACAAGAAGCTTGGTGTCGAGTTGATTATTTTTGAAATGTATCATTTTGAATTTTTTTTAACGCTTCATTAATATTCTCGTAACTTATAAATAACGCTTTAACAGCCTCAGCATTTGCACTCCATCTAGTAACTGATTTGGATTTCGGAAGTGAACAATTTTTTACCAAAGTTTTTTTTTAAATATCCCAGCGTTGGGTAGAAGCGGAAAAAAAATTGTAAACTTCTTGGACAAAACCGAAAAATGAAACTACTTCAATACAACAATCTACAGCAGATTGTCGAACGAGATTCATCGAATGTGCAATACACGGAATATAATCAGTAAATGAATTGCACTTTTTTATTTCTGCTTGCATACCAGTACAAGTCCCACTCATGTTGCTAGCGTTGTCATAGCTCTGCCCACGACAATTTTCTATGTTAATATCATTTTCTTTCAAAAAGTTAAGTAAACACAAAGCAAAATTTGCACCAGTATGACTTGTAACATGAATAAAAGTAATGAAACGTTCTACTGGTCCATCATAATTCGTATTATACGAAGCTAAGAAAGTATTAATTATACTATGCTGTGATTTTTTTTTATGTCTGTTACCACTTTTTCTCAGCTCTCACCAAACCGATTTCTTTCAACGATACGTCAAAAGATCATAAATCGTATTTAGTCGAAGACATTACCTTCAAAAATTGAAAAAATTTCCCTCGTTCCCCGTAAATGGGGGAAATCTCCAAAAAAATTACAAATTAAAAATCACTAATTTTCGAAATGTTTTCAATTTTATTTACTAAAAACAGCCATAACTTTTTCAAAATTGAACATATCAATATAATTTTTTTTTATAGATGATTGATTTCTTTACCTATCATTTGGTATTTTTTTTTGGTAAATTTGACCCTTTATCTGCCCACAGGGGGGATTTAAAATGACAACTTTTTCAACTTAACTTTTGAAAGTGAAATACTGACACTTAAATATATATAACTTAAATTAAAGCTACCGTATTTAAAAATATGCTATTATTGTGTTAAAATTCTTGGTTTTGTATTTTATTTTATTATAAGGGGATTACACTGATTTTCATAAATATTACATCAATCTAAATGACATAGCATAAAAAATTAATCATATTTTAATTTCGAGAAAAATAATTGTAAAATAAAAAAAATTTTTAACTCATTTGATTTTTATCTCATTTAGATTCAATAACTTCAATAAATATCAAGGATTCCATTACTGTAGTCTCCTCTCGTGAGAAGAAATTCATATTAATATTATTTTACTATGTGGTTTTTTTTTTGTAGATATCATTTATTTTCTCAACTCTCATTTGACCTACTTCTTTGACAAATTTTTTTTTTAAATTAAACACTATGTGATAGTGATTTTAATCACTGTCAGATATCATCTATACTGGACCCTACTGTGCCGCCACCCCACTNACAGATATGCATCGAAACGTTTTTTATGATAGTGATTTTAATCACTGTCAGATATCATCTATACTGGACCCTACTGTGCCGCCACCCCACTGTGCTGGGTTTTTATAATTATGAACACAAATTCCATAAAACTAAGGCTTAGAACATACCCAAATAGATTTATGACCATTTAAGGTCTTTAATTTTAAACTACCATATAGTTAAAATTGTGAGTTTTTTAAAATGCAAATTTGTATAAGATGTTGAACTTAAAAATTTTCACTTATGTTTCATTATGAACTTGTGTAAAGTCTTCTTATTTTATCAATGACCACCGAAACATCTTTAGATATTTTATTAGTTAAATTTGTATTTTTGTATTCCTTCTTAATTTTAATTATAATAATTACAATTATAAATTAAAAATTATCTGATAAAAAACTTTGTTACTCGTTGTTAACGTATGTTAGCGGTGCATTATCATTGTTTTAAGCAAATTTTACTTTATTTAAATTTTTATAGAATAGAGGAAAACTTTTTTTTATTAAAAATTAAAAATATATTGAAAATATTAATTAAAATCTAAAAAATATTTAACTCAAAAAGTCACAAAAAATACTGAAAAATGACGTATATGTATTTCGACAACAGCATATTATCATCAGTTATAACACATACTGACATCTCAACTTTATTTTTAGGTTATTATTGATTGATGTCTGACAGTGATTAAAATCAATATTGTAAACTTTAGTGACTACTTGAAATAGATGCAAATATTCTATTACTAATCAAAACCATTCAAATTCGGCAATTTTTACCAAAAATAGTTTTTGGACTAATAGTCTTCACTTTTAGAAATTAATTTATCGGATAGTTTATATTTTTTCATTTTAAAAAGCATTGTATTAGATTTAAATTAATGTACATTTCAAGAAGTCAGTTTTCTTAGAATATTAACCAAAAATGAAAAGAATAAAATTTTGAAATGATTTTTAAGACCCCATAGTCTTTCGGTTAATAATTGGATTTCCAAAGAAGTCAGAGATTAGCATGTTAGATGTATGAAGTATATACTCCAAAGAGTATACATGTCGTGTATAAGTGTATACTTCAGACATTTAACTTGCATAAATTTGTATTGATTATAACAATTAAACTTTCGAAATTATTCACCAAGTATTCAAAAATTTTTCATTTAATATAGTACAAATGTATTATAACAATTAAGTTTAAATAGTAAAATGTATTCTACTATTTAAAAATTTGCATTTTAATAAAAATTATTAATGTACAATTAATTTTCTTCTTTTAATTTGATTTAGTGAGGGGTGCGATCGTCCCGTCGACCAAGCCACGAGCCGCCAATCCTATTACACATGAAATATTAATGATTTAATTTGTTCATATATTTATTAATCACACATCTCACTTTCCCGATTATCATACGCGAATGCTCCTTTTTCTTCTTCATTGGTGTGTTGTATCAAGTTTTTAGAAGAATTTTCTGCGATATCTAAATATGTTAACAAAATAATAATATCAAATATGTTTGATCTTATTTAGTTACTTAAGATAAATTTCATTAAAGTAAACTAGTTATGGTTTAAAATTTTTAATTTTGTTTAATCCACATAATTTTCCCATATTCCAATCAATGACAAAAAAAAACAANTATTTCATTCAATGGCAAAAAAAAACAAAAAAATTATGAGCAATGGAGCAATCTGAAAAATCATTAGTGTGATCATAGAAAATAACAAGTCGTTCTGAGTAATAATGACATTGTAGTTGATTAGATCTAACTGTACTATATAGATGCAGCATTTCTCTGTTTAGGAACAGCATAACTACCGGTTAGGACTCTAGGTATACCTTAAAAATTTTTAAATCTATTTAAAACTCATTTAAATTAAAATAAAATTCATAATAGTGTATAATCGAAAAAAAAAATGAATTTGTTTGTTAGCTTCACTAAAAATTTATTTAAACTAATAATAAATATTCAGTAGTAGACAATACAATTTTTACATTCTTGCAGCATCTCTTCAAAAACATCTATATCACTGTTATTTTGTATCAAATTTTTAGAAGAATTTTGTGTAATATCTAAAAATGTAATAAGAGTTGTTTATTCAATTTCAAATTAATTTTATTAAAGTAAAGTATAAAATAGTGACGCAAAAAACATTACATTCTTGTTGTAAATTTTCCATCAAATCTTCTTCATTGGTATGTTGTACCAAATTTTTAGAAGAACTTTCATCGATATCTAAAAATATAATAACAATTGTTTAGTCTATTTAAAATTAATTTTATTAAAATAAAGTGTAAAATAGTGACTCATCAAAACCTTACATTCTTGCAGCATCTCTTCAATCTCATCTATATCATTGTTATTTCTTATTAAATTTATAGAAGGACTTTGTGCATCTAAAAATATAATAACAATTGTTTAGTCTATTTAAAATTAATTTTATTAAAGTAAAGTGTAAAATAGTGACGCATCAAAACCTTACACTCTTGTTGTACATTTTCCATCAAACCTTCTTCATTGGTGTGGTTTATCAAGTTTTTAGAAGAATTTTCTGCGATATCTAAATATGTTAACAAAATAATAATATCAAATATGTTTGATCTTATTTAGTTACATAAGATAAATTTCATTAAAGTATACAATTTATGGTTTAAAATTTTTAATTTTGTTTAATCCACATAATTTTCCTATATTTCATTCAATGACAAAAAAAAACAAAAAAATTATGAGCAATGGAGTAATCTGAAAAATCATTAGTGTGATCATAGAAAATAACAAGTCGTTCTGAGTAATAATGACATTGTAGTTGATTAGATCTAACTATACTATATAGATGCAGCATTTCTCTGTTTAGGAACAGCATAACTACCGGTTAGGACTCTAGGTATACCTTAAAAAATTTTAAATCTATTTAAAACTCATTTAAATTAAAATAAAATTCATAATAGTGTATAATCGAAAAAAAAAATGAATTTGTTTGTTAGCTTCACTAAAAATTTATTTAAACTAATAATAAATATTCAGTAGTAGACAATACAATTTTTACATTCTTGCAGCATCTCTTCAAAAACATCTATATCATTGTTATTTCGTACCAAATTTTTAGAAGAATTTTCTGCGATATCTAAAAATATAATAAGAATTGTTTATTCAATTTAAAATTAATTTTATTAAAGTAAAGTGTAAAATAGTGACGCATCAAAACCTTACACTCTTGTTGTACATTTTCCATCAAACCTTCTTCATTGGTGAGGTTTATCAAGTTTTTAGAAGAATTTTCTGCGATATCTAAATATGTTAACAAAATAATAATATCAAATATGTTTGATCTTATTTAGTTACATAATATAAATTTCATTAAAGTAAACAAGTTATGGTTTAAAATTTTTAATTTTGTTTAATCCACATAATTTTCCTATATTTCATTCAATGACAAAAAAAAACAAAAAAATTATGAGCAATGGAGTAATCTGAAAAATCATTAGTGTGATCATAGAAAATAACAAGTCGTTCTGAGTAATAATGACATTGTAGTTGATTAGATCTAACTATACTATATAGATGCAGCATTTCTCTGTTTAGGAACAGCATAACTACCGGTTAGGACTCTAGGTATACCTTAAAAAATTTTAAATCTATTTAAAACTCATTTAAATTAAAATAAAATTCATAATAGTGTATAATCGAAAAAAAAAATGAATTTGTTTGTTAGCTTCACTAAAAATTTATTTAAACTAATAATAAATATTCAGTAGTAGACAATACAATTTTTACATTCTTGCAGCATCTCTTCAAAAACATCTATATCATTGTTATTTCGTACCAAATTTTTAGAAGAATTTTCTGCGATATCTAAAAATATAATAAGAATTGTTTATTCAATTTAAAATTAATTTTATTAAAGTAAAGTGTAAAATAGTGACGCATCAAAACCTTACACTCTTGTTGTACATTTTCCATCAAACCTTCTTCATTGGTGTGGTTTATCAAGTTTTTAGAAGAATTTTCTGCGATATCTAAATATGTTAACAAAATAATAATATCAAATATGTTTGATCTTATTTAGTTACATAAGATAAATTTCATTAAAGTATACAATTTATGGTTTAAAATTTTTAATTTTGTTTAATCCACATAATTTTCCTATATTTCATTCAATGACAAAAAAAAACAAAAAAATTATGAGCAATGGAGTAATCTGAAAAATCATTAGTGTGATCATAGAAAATAACAAGTCGTTCTGAGTAATAATGACATTGTAGTTGATTAGATCTAACTATACTATATAGATGCAGCATTTCTCTGTTTAGGAACAGCATAACTACCGGTTAGGACTCTAGGTATACCTTAAAAAATTTTAAATCTATTTAAAACTCATTTAAATTAAAATAAAATTCATAATAGTGTATAATCGAAAAAAAAAATGAATTTGTTTGTTAGCTTCACTAAAAATTTATTTAAACTAATAATAAATATTCAGTAGTAGACAATACAATTTTTACATTCTTGCAGCATCTCTTCAAAAACATCTATATCACTGTTATTTTGTATCAAATTTTTAGAAGAATTTTGTGTAATATCTAAAAATGTAATAAGAGTTGTTTATTCAATTTCAAATTAATTTTATTAAAGTAAAGTATAAAATAGTGACGCAAAAAACATTACATTCTTGTTGTAAATTTTCCATCAAATCTTCTTCATTGGTATGTTGTACCAAATTTTTAGAAGAATTTTCTGCGATATCTAAAAATATAATAAGAATTGTTTAGTCTATTTAAAATTAATTTTATTAAAGTAAATTGTAAAATAGTGACGCAAAAAACATTACATTCTTGTTGTAAATTTTCCATCAAATCTTCTTCATTGGTATGTTGTACCAAATTTTTAGGAGAATTTTCTGCGACATCTAAATATTTTAACTAAATAATAATATCAAATGTTTGATCTTATTGAGCTACTTAAAATAAATTTCATTTAAGTAATCTAGTTATGATTTACCATTTTTAATACTAACATTATATTCGATTAAATCTAACTATACTATATAGAGACAAAATTTCTCTGTTTAGGAACAGCATAACCAACTGTTAGGACTCGTAGTATACCTTAAAAATTTTTAAATCTATTTCAAACTCATTTAAATTAAAATTAATAAAAAAAAATTTTTTTGCTAGCTTCACTAAAAGTTAATTATACTATAAATAAATATTCAGTAGTAGATAATACAATTTTTACATTCTTGCAGCATCTCTTCAAGCTCATCTATATCATTGTTATTTCTTATTAAATTTATAGAAGGACTTTTTGCGATATATAAAAATATAATGACAATTGTTTAGTAAATTAAAAATTAATTTTATAAAAGTAAAGTGTGTATTAGTGACGCATCAAAACCTTACATTCTTGTTGTACATTTTCCTTCAAATCATCTTCATTGGTGGGTTGTATCAAATTTTTAGGAGAATTTTCTACAATATCTAAAAATATAATAAAAATTTTTTAGTCTCTTTAAAATTCATTTTAATAAAATAAAATGTATAATAATGACATATCAAAACCTACATTCTTGCAGCATCTCTTCAAAAATATCTATATCATTGTTATTTCGTACCGAATTCTTAGAAGAATTTTGTGCAATATCTAAAAATATAATAATAATTGTTTAATCAATTTAAAAGTCCTTTTATTACAANAATAACAATTGTTTAGTCTATTTAAAATTAATTTTATTAAAGTAAAGTGTAAAATAGTGACGCATCAAAACCTTACATTCTTGTTGTACATTTTCCATCAAATATTCATCATTGGTATGTTGTACCAAATTTTTAGAAGAATTTTCTGCGATATCTAAAAATATAATAACAATTGTTTAGTCTATTTAAAATTAATTTTATTAAAGTAAAGTGTAAAATAGTGACGCATCAAAACCTTACATTCTTGTTGTACATTTTCCATCAAATATTCATCATTGGTATGTTGTACCAAATTTTTAGAAGAATTTTCTGCGATATCTAAATATGTTAACAATTAAACAATTTAAAAAAAATTTTATATTGCTTAAAAAGTTATACCTAGCTTGACATTCGTTGGACATAGGCCAGGTAAAACTGTTTTACATGTCTTCGAATCAAAGTGAAATCCAAGTGTAACATACTTATTCCAGAGTATCCTTTGGAATAAATTGCTCATTTTATCAGTTAGAAAAATGATAAGTTCTTCGTCTTTTCTTTGACTGTTTAATGTTACAATTTCGTTTATCCAAATATTCCACATAGAATTCAAATCTATTTGTTTTATTTTACACAATGATACATCTTTTTTGAGTTCAAAATCGCCAGTGTTTAAAATATTCGTGATAGTTAATAACGCATTTTTAATTGAGTCCATATTGTTTTCCAAAGGAATCAATTTCTTTAACGATTCATATTTCTGTAAATTTGTAAGAAGTTTACTTAAAGGAAACCGAGTATATTTTTGGGTGTTCATAGGGTTTTTGTGATATTTTTCTATAGCATATAATGCTCCTTTCATATATTTTGCCAGCGTAACAAATTCAATCATTTTTTCTAAAATTTTTACTGTACAGTTTTGTGCACTGATTTTACCAGAATTAAGTAGTATGAAACAATATTCTTGAAAATTGTAAAATGTATAGAATATTGTATGTAAATCATTAGCGTAAGAACATGCAAGGAATATTGTAGCTTTACGTATAATATTGTCACAGTTATTTAATGTTACAGGTTTATTAATCACATCGTTCAATGTAAACAAATTGCGCCTGTAAATAATGTATTCGACATCATTTATATTTTTCCATCCGGGTTGATGTAGTAACTTCGTTATTATATCGACGTGTGCTCTTTTATTAGGTGTTCCTTCAGTATTCAATAAAGCGATAAATATACAAAAGTACACTTGAATATTTAGTATTATTGAAATTTTCATTATCAAAAAGTTTATTACTAAAAAAATTATTGTCATACAATTTTTATTTCAATATTAATCAATTATTTTTTTAATACTAATATAAAGAAACTAGTAATAATTTCAACTGCATACACTTGTGTAGATGAACAAAATTAATTTGTTTGCGTTTAGTAGTAGGTGTAGGGTTATTTATGTGCTATAAATTAAAAAAAATTTTCTAGCTACCCTCGAAATAATTTATACATCCATATTTTTATCTAATAGTAGATTACTATCTGCATAATATTAGAAATAAATTGTAACAAAGTTCATAATTTGAATAATAATACAATATAATAAATCTAATTTTAGACGAAAAAATTAATTTTATTAAGAAATACTTTTTAACAGTTGTTATTAAGACTATTCTAACTTGTATCAATTTTTTATTAATAGTCTTAAAACATAATGAAGAACAAATAGAATATAAATAATTTATAGTTGAATTAAACAAGAAAGTTTAAAAACGGAATGCATTCTAATATCTGATATTATTATTTGAAATCGCTTTTCTTTGGTGTCCCGTCGGGGTTGAATAAATCAACCGTCGAAAGGGATACCACGGCCCCACCCAGGCCGTCGACGTCTATGGGGCTTGTCTCCAATATTGGCTTCCCTGTTGTTGGCGTGGCTGGTGTCGGTCCTGCGGCGCCGGCCGTCCGAACGAAGGCCGACAGCAGTGGAGGACAGGTCCTCGGTGTTGGTGTTGGTGTTGGTGGTGTCGGTGCGGTTGGTAGACGGACATCCGCTTCCCTTTCTGGATCCCCCCGCTCCTTGAAGCGCTCCCTCCGACTTATGTCGAAGAGAGTGAGCTTCCTGTATCTTGGGTGAGCCGGTGGCGGCCAGGTAGACGAGCCCGCCCTAGAGGATGTACTCGCCACGCGGACGCTCTGTCCCGGGCGTAGTATGCTGGAGCGGAGCGCTCGGCGGTATAGCCGATCGCTACACCACCGCAGCAATGGCAGCCGGGCGCTGTGGAGAGGAGGCAGCACCCTCTCCCGGCACTGGAGATCGCGCACCAGCTCGTCACGCTCGCAATACTTCTGACCTTTTTTTTTTTTTTTCTCCGATCGGCTTGGTTGTGGACCGTCCTGGAACTACCAATAGGTATTACTTCAGGGCGACCCACGCCGTCTTTAAAACTCACACCACCACGTTGTGAATCAGCCAACACCAGCCCGAGAGCCGACATCAGATCCAACAGGTCTTCGCCACGCTGATTCGTGTCCGCCGACCCTCAGACCGGGGAGTGAGCGTTAAAATCCCCGGCCACTATCTCCCTGCGGCTGTTCCGCGGCCGCCCAAGCCTCCTCGCCCGCAGGCAGGAGGAGACGGGCCCGAGGAGTTCGGCAATCGGCAAGCTGGGCGGCGCGTAGCAGCTCAAGACGTCGATGCCGTCTATCCTCGCCACTACGTAACCGTCGCCCAACTCGATATCCGCTACCGTTAGGCCGCGGTCCATCACGCCGATCAATACTTCTGACCTGACATGCTGAAAATTAAAACGGCCCGTACTCTGACCGTAATTTGTAATTTATGTTAACTATTTTAATTTTAAACATGAGACGTGAAGTTTGCGTGGGGGATTTTGATCTGTTAGGTACAATCATTTGCCCACTTTTTCCGGTAGTCTGACGGGGCCCCACCACTTCGGCACGAAACCAGCACAAAATTATTTTTGTTTGTTAGATAAGTGGTGTGCCTTATAATACACCACGTCTCCGACTGCAAAAGGTTTTACTACGTGTTTCGTTTAAACGTTATCTATAATTTTGCCGGCCTGCTGTTTGGGTGGCTATTGTTTACATTGTCGGCGGTCGCCGTGTTTACATGTACGACCGCCCAGTCACCAGGTCGTTTCGCCTCTCGGCCGAGAACGAGTACGGAGACGGATAACCGGTTTTTTCATTACGACGATTACGCAACGCAAATAGTATCGACGGTGTTTTCGTGTCCCAGGTACTATGGTCACCCTCTACCAGTAGGGCGCGTAGAACTTTTTTTAGCTCCTGATTTTTTTTTTGTTCTACCGGATTTGCACGCGGATGATAAATAAGTGTGGTCCAGGCTTCCGCCCCCCATCTATTTATCGCGTTAATCATTTCGGTAAACACCAGATTCCGATCGTTGTCGCAAAGCAATACGCATCATTTGGACGGCTATTTAGGGCCTTCGTACACGCGCAAATATCACACAATTTAACGTACTCTCGTACTATGTTTAATAGAAACGCCGTTTGATTGCTCGATAGGTTTCTTTCCATCCTGAATGACAAGCCAGCGCATCATCGTGGTATCGCCAAATCACAAGCTATGATTTCGCTACCGGTATTACGGCCGGTGTGTTTACGCCCATACGAATGTGTAAAAGTCCGTCTAACATGAAATATTCATTCTTACTGGACTCCTTATCGTTTTTTCTGACGTTCTCCTTGAGTAATTGTTTCATGATGGATGAAAGAAACGGATCGTCGTTTTGCTCCTCTTGTATTCCCGTCCCCCTCTCTAAACGGCTGTTTATCTGACGCGCCGTTTGTTTCGGTTATAATTGCTAAGCATTCTCGCTCTATGTCGGCGTAACGTTTCTGCGATTCCGATAATTTGTTACTGGCGTAGGATATGATTCTTCTCTCACCCGGTTCATCTCCGTGCTGTTTTTCGGGCTACTTGTCCATGTCTTCACCGTGTACAATATGGCTCAAAAAGGAAATTTTCACCACTGTGCCGCGACCCCCCTGGGCTGGGTTTTTTTTTATAATTATTGTATTTTCAACCCACAAAATTACTTGGAGAATAATAATAAATCAAACATTTTTTTTTTTATTATCTTTAGTTACACATTATTCTTGAATTTTTAACTATGTAATACTTTTTAAGTTCATCCCTTATGCCTTGGAAGGGGGTCAACTTTGTTTTTTTAAATGGTAACACATATTTTTAATTTAATAAAATGTTTGAGTTTTTAATTTAATAGTAAATGGCATATGAATTTTTAATATAACTTAATTCGTTTATTAGATATAATCACATAAAGTTCCAAATTTTTGAATTAATATACAGGTATAATACACAAGGGATTACAAATATAGGTAGCTAATTGGTTTTTTATAACATCGATATTAGCAGGTACACAGCATTGTTATTATCAATTGTAGTAAGGCACATTGTTCTGAGTTTATAAATACACTAATTGACAATATAGCAAGTATATCTATTGATAATCATAATTGATAATAAACAATCCGTGACTGAGACAGCAATGTCATAATAATCCAATTAGCTACCTGTATTTACAATCCCATGTGTATTATACATGTATATTAACTCAAAATTTTGAAACTTTAAATGTTTATATCTAATAAACGAATTAAGTTATATTAAAAATTCAAATGCCATTTACTATTAAATTAAAAACTCAAACATTTTATTNAATAATAGCATTTGGTAGCCATTTTCACCGTGAAGACAAAATAAAGTCCGAAATTTTTTTTTTACATAATAAAGTAGATAACATTAGCTTTAATTTAATATACATAGAAAAGTGTCAGACTTTCCGGAACACTTTCAAAAGTTAAGTTGAAAAAGTAAAATTTTTGCGAAAAAGTTGTCATTTTGAATCCCCACCTGTAGGCAGGTAAAATATCAGATTTATAAAAAAATATACCAAATGATAGGTAAAGACATCATGCATCTACAAAAAACAGAATTATATTGATCCATACATCTTTCAAAAAGCTATAGCATTATAAAGTTAAAAATATAAAAAAGAATTTTTTTACAAAAATCGTATTTTTTTTATAAACTTTGATGTCTGTTTTCACCATGAAGATAAAATAAAGTCCGAAATTTTTTTTTACCATTATAAAGTATATTACATTAGCTTTAATTTAAGATATATATAAAAGTGTCAGACCTTCCGGAACACTTTCAAAAGTTAAGTTGAAAAAGTTCTACTTTCTATATGCATTTTTATGTTTTGAATCCCCCCTGTATTTAGGGAAATGGTCCGATTTAAAAAAACAGTATGTCGAATGAAAGATCTATATAAATACTACTTCTCATAAAAAAATTGTAATGATTCATACATTTTTCAAAAAGTTATAGCATAATAAAGTTAAAAATGGAAAATACAAAATCGAAAATTTTCACACAAAAATAGCATTCGGTAGCCATTTTCACCATGAAGATAAGATAAAGTCCGAAATTTTTTTTTTACATAATAAAGTAGATAATATTAGCTTTAATTTAATATATATAGAAAAGTGTCTTTCCGGAACACTTTCAAAATTTAAGTTGAAAAAGTTAATTTTTTGTGAAAAAGTTGTCATTTTGAATCCCCCCTTGTGGGCAGGTTAAGGGTTAAATTTATGAAAAAAATATACCAAATGAAAGGTAATGATATTATGCATCTATATAAAAAAGAATTATATTGATATGTTCATTTTTTAAAAAGTTATGGCACTTTTAAGTAAAAAAAATTGAAAAAATTTCGAAAATTAGCGATTTTTAAATTTGTAATTTTTTTGGAGGTTTCCCCCTTTTACGGGGAACGAGGGAATTTTTTTCAATTTTTAAGGGTAATGTCTTCGACTAGATACGATTTTTGATCTTTTGACGTATCATTGAAAGAAATCAGTTCAGTGAGAGCTGAGAAAAAGTGGTAACAGACACAAAAAAAAAATAATAATAAAAAAAAATAAACACATCTTAGTAAAACCAATACCTTCTCAGCTTCGCATCGAAGCTAAAAAAAATGTTGAAATTATTATTATTCTGCAAGTAATTGAGTGGGTTATGATAAAAAAATCACCCTGTATATAATATATATATACGCCAGCCTAGAGCGAAGGGCGGTGCCGTGTCATACAAAATTTATAATAAATGTCATCTAAAAGATGAACAAAACAACTTGGCCCCCTCGTATTAAAATTAAGAAACGATTTTAACTAGTATAAATTTCTTTTCAAAACCCAATTAATATATAATGAGTATAACACATTGTAATGTTGAGAATTTGACTAGTTTTTTTTTTTTAATAAATCTTATCAATGAGAGGTGTGTGCAATAGGTATAATGTATTTTAATAGTTGTGTATGTGATAATCTCCACTAGTCAACCGATCCAATATCTGTCATCCTATCGTCATCAGCTGACCGTACACTATGCACCTGTACCAATATTGTTGTATTTCCCCCCAATGAACGTGTTCGAAATTGGCACCACAACCACCCGATGTCACGATCACCGGCCATTATACAAATGCCGCGACAACGGATTTTTTCT